ATCTACAGGACAATACACAGGGTAACATTGAATCTCCTGGTATCTACAGGACAATACACAGGTAACATTGAATCCCCTGGTATCTACAGGACAATACACAGGGTAACATTGAATCCCCTGGTATCTACAGGACAATACACAGGGTAATTTGGATCCTTTGGTATCTACAGGACAATACACAGGGTAACATTGAATCCCTTGGTATCTACTGGACAATACACAGGGTAACATTGAATCCCCTGGTATCTACAGGACAATACACAGGGTAGCATTGAATCCCCTGGTATCTACAGGACAATCCACAGGGTAACATTGAATCCCCTGGTATGTACAGGACAATACACAGGGTAACATTGAATCCCCTGGTATCTACAGGACATTACACAGGGTAACATTGAATCCCTTGGTATGTACAGGACAATACACAGGGTAACATTGAATCCCCTGGTGTCTACAGGACAATACACAGGGTAACATTGAATCCCCTGGTATCTACAGGACAATACACAGGGTAACATTGAATCCCCTGGTATCTACAGGACAATACACAGGGTATCATTGAATTCTCTTGTATGTACAGGACAATACACAGGGTAACATTGAATCCCCTTGTATCTACAGGACAATACACTAGGTAATATTGGATCCTTTGGTATCTACAGGACAATACACAGGGTAACATTGAATCCCCTAGTATCTACAGGACAATACACAGGGTAATATTGGATCCTTTTGTATCTACAGGACAATACACAGGGTAACATTGAATCCCTTGGTATGTACAGGACAATATACAAAACCACATTGAATTTATATTTACCAGGTGACTGCTACCCTATACCTGTATCTAGTTATTGATACAAAGTTACCAGTTCCCTACACCAGTACCTAGGTACATATTCTTGTGCTTAGTTACCCTTAAAATATCATTACATAAAATATTGTTGACATTTACTTGTAAACCTGCAGTATATAGCTTACATAGCACTGTTTACTCTCCTCAATAAATATATACCTTAATATCTGAAATACATTATCGATGCACTATAAATATTTTACCGAGATACCTCATCACCAAATTTAAAAAGACTTGATTAACTGGAACAAAAATTCAATATGTTTTCTATACCACCAAATTGTAGTACATTGTCTTGATACAAATATACCTGTGATAATTCTTGTGTTTAACACAAAGAGACAAAAATTATGGTATCATACCCAATAAACAAGAGGCTTAATAGGCCTGAATCACTCACCTGTTCTGAAGCTTACATTGAAAACTGTCAGTTTGTTTAATGAATTTCTTTAAAATTGAAAGCATATTTCTCAAGCATGCATCTACACTTAAATACCATGACCCAGAACTTATTGCTTGTTGAAAAGAAGAAATTTGAAGACCTAAACACATTTAAGCCCGAACCTTAATGGGTCAAGGTCATTCATTTTCACAAACTTTGTAGCCCTTCATCCTAGCATGCAACATGGTCAATATCAGAACACCAGGTCTTTCAGTTATTGCGGAGTTACAAGATTTTTAAAATTTTTGATCAGTTTGGTCTTGAAAGATGGTTAAGGTTAGTTATTGGTAACCTTTCATCACAATATGCTACAGGCCCAATATCATTACCCAAGGCCTTTAAGTTATGGGAAGTTGTTTGAAGGGAAAAGGTTGATGTGAAACAGAAGGGCAGACAGCAAAAACTACTGAAGACAGACTCTATCACATGGTATAAGCTCACTTTAGTCGAAAAACAAAACAACGTGAAAAGTGTTTGATGCACCATTAAACCTTGAAGATGAAAATCTTATTTAAAATGATCACAAAAAGAGCTCCCAAAAAGTTCCCAGAAAGTTACCCGCACTGGTATCCATTTAGTTAGTTTTGATATAGTATGTTCCTACATTTATATAAAGTCCTTGTGTATATAATCAGTATAAGAATAAGAGTGTCACAGCAGCCATTTTCTGTCTGTTATCTCCTTTGTAAGACTTCCTTTACTTGGTAAAAAAAAAACAGTTTTTTTCAACTACCTAAATTATAAATATTTGTTGAAGATATAAGGCTTTATGTTCAAATATTGAGAATATTATTTAATTGTTTACTTCAGGGTTTTGTTTTTTTTTTGTTTTTGATTTTTTTTCAAGTTCATATTTGGAGGGAAAAGTTTACCATGTATGACTGTATAATTCTTTTGTGATACACTCATTCTATACCATTAAAAATTGGAATTCTTAAAAAATGATGATGATGATGTAAAATATTCAATTCAAATTAATGTTTGTCTTTTTATCAATTTGAATTTGTTTGAAATCATCTGTGTAGAAATTAGTACCAAGATCGTTAATTATTAACAAGTTGTTAGAAAAATGAACTATAAAAACCATGTAGCTATGTAAGGAATGTGACAAGATAATCTGCACCGCACAATAACTACTGACAACCAGTTATAACACTTAAACAATAACTAGTTGTCTGTAAGCAAATTAAAACAACAATGATGCACCAGAAGATTAACACAGTTAAATTATTGTATAAAGTTCTACCATAATCTGTTAAAACATTGATGTATCAAGAACATCATATCTCAACTGTGGAGGAAGAAAAGTGGACATATAAACAGTAAATTCCTTATTTGGAAGCAAAGTCAAATGGAAGCATTCATTTAAATGCATATAAACTGAGGGCTTTTTATCAAGGATTTCCTATATAAACGAGGGGCATAATGCACCTAGGTTTTCCTTTTAACATTGTGACCAGGGGCATGCATCAAGGATTTACTGTAAGTAAACTGTGGGGCATTACATATAAGTTTTAATGTATATAACCAGGGGCATTATGTCAAGATCTCACTGTATATAAACCAGGGGTATTATATCAAGGTTTTACTGTATATATATAACCAGGGGCATGTCAAGATCTCACTGTATATTAACCAGGGGCATTTGATCAATGTTTTACTGTACATAAATCAAGGTTTGACTGTAAACATAAACCAAGTATATTATTTCACCAACATTTTTACACATTTCAGAACAAATTCATACATATTATGTATCAATGCAAAACCATGTAAACACAAAATCATGAAACATTTTTCACATTGATGTGGTAACATATTTCAGAATAGGTATTTCATTTAAAGATGTACACAGCAACAACTACAGGTATCAGCATCCTTGTTAAAGCAAACCATTCCTAGTAATTCAGAGAGGATTACAGAAAAATTATATTGGAAATTCAGGATGAAAGGCAATGTAACACAAGAAATGAATTTGTGATGAATAGGGATCAAGGTCTCATTATATAATGTGAACAATATCCCTCATACATTGTACAAAAACCAGAGGGGTATTGATCAACCCTCATAAATTGTACAAAAACCAGAGGGGTATTGATCAACCCTCATAAATTGTACAAAAACCAGAGGGGTATTGATCAACCCTCATACATTGTACAAAAACCAGAGGGGTATTGATCAACCCTCATACATTGTACAAAAACCAGAGGGGTATTAATCAAGGTCTAAATATATAATATGAACAATAACCCTCATACATTGTACAAAAACCAGAGGGGTATTGATCAAGGTCTCAATATATGCTCACAATAGGATAGCGTCATCATTTCTATACTATATATATATATATATGTATAGTGAAACCACATTGATAAGGTCATCATTTTCGACACACATTTCACGGGACATTGATGATGACATGATGAATAGGTTTCACAACAACTTACAATTTGATACTGTATTTTTAAGCATCTGAGAAAAATAATCAAACATTGGTCTGTTCCATGGACAAAGATGTCACAACAAACCTAATGCTGATGGCAGCCAGTTTCTTGTACTCGGGTTGAGACATCCATATCCATGGAACAGACCCCTGTAAGATTCTATCAACCGATAAAAATCCCTTTGGAAAATCATTCACAATATCACAAAATGAAATGATTCTGAAGCTGCTCCAATCACCTTGCTAAAGCATGACAGTACATACAAGACATTTTTAACATGTTATCATAAATATTACAGACATATTAAATGTATTTACTTCTGATCAAGAATATTGTGATGAGGGTTAGGTTGCCAAATGCGTTGAGATCTGTCCTGTATAACTGTGACTAAAGCATGAATCCTCTGTGAACATATTACATGATGTGAAATAATCAGTCTGATTATTTGAATGTACAAAACAGGTTTATCAGTCCCGTCATATAAATCTATACCAATACAGACTACAATTTGTACTTTTGTCTTGGTCCTTGTAGAATTTTTAGTAAAGACATGACAAATGTATAATTTATATGAAATGAAAAAGTATATCATTGTACACATAATAAATAGAAATGGGTAATTTTTTTTGTGAAAATTAGCACATTGTATATTATATAAGTTATATTTAGTATATATCTATATAAATATCACCGATTTAAAACTTTAACACGAAGAGAACCCATGAAAATACAGGTAAACGTCTGGTATGAAAAATACATGATCAAGGCACATATACATTATCATACGATAGATAAAACTGGTTTCTCTACCAACAGGGTGAGGAGGCGATGTTAATGATACAGCTGCAATAACGAATTGTCTTTGTGTAAGACACCACATGTAGAAAGTGTGTGGGGATGTATATATACATCCAGTGCCTAGAAACTTCCAGTCTTTCAATCGTCCCAATACCTAGCATTTATAGTCATTGGAACCAAGAACTCCTAGTCTTTCTATTGCCAGAGATACCAAGTACTGTACCAGTCACTGCCTTGAAAGTTTCATCATTCTGGTACATTCATTTCTGCCGCCAGGCCACAATACATTGTTTACAAGTTCTCTTTCACAAAATGTTAAGATAATCTTTTGGACTTTTAACTTGCAAACATCTGGGCTGTGGTTCCAACTTTTTCTTTCAAATTTAGATGGAGGTGACATGTGCCCATAAATATTGTTTGTAGCAAGTTAAACCTGTCGCACACAATGGTGTAATGAATATCACTGGACCACACATGCTTGTGACATATCGCCATGTCTCCCTGCTGCTTTAGCAAAACATATTGCCTGCATCCACTCATTCTGAATGTTTTCATTATCAGCATGAATATAAAATGTTCGCTTGATATCTTTGGATTTTATTCGGAATGCATAGTTCTTCTTGTCTATATTGGTCTCCGAGATTTCTGAATTGGTCAATGGTATTCTTTTAGATGTTTGCTGAAAAGAAAAGAAAATGCTACATTATAATGCTGGTTTCTCTGCATCGTAAGAAGAGAGCGAATAAGAAAAAACAGATTTGAATGTTTCACAAGAGGGCATATGTAATATGTGTTGCTTTTCTGGGTTTACTGGTTACCTGGTCATATAATTTTTTTTTCTTTATTTGCAGTATGTCTATAGGTATAACACAATTTTGTAGAAGCATATGTAACAGAGGTCATTATTTCAATGTCTCTGCTAGGAATCGAACCCAGGACCCTGCCTTACTAGTCTTGAAACTCAACTGATTAAGTTAGAGAGTTCTCAAACAGAAGTGTCCAAGGGTTACAGTGATATTTATAAGACAATGCTAAGTATTATTCCCGATTCTCTACAAGGGCGTCATTGTAAAGGGGGTCATTATTTATTTTAATGCCTCCGCTAGGATTCAATTCCGGGACCTATGGCTTACTAATCTGATGTTTAATCCATCACGCTAAAGACAAGTTCTCTCTAGCAGAGCAATATATTGCAGCTGGTATTTTACCATAGTTACACATATTTCAGTTGTTGACATAATTGTTGTTGCTTGTTTTATCTAATTTACCAAACAATTGCATGATTATCAAAGAGATAAAATTATTGTTGACATGGTCATGTTTACGGTAGTGATGGGTGTTTTCTTTTAAAAGATATCTTTTATACTTAACATGGATCAATGATGTGTTTGTAATCATGAGTGTCCATCAACTGTAGCATGTTTGAAGGGCAAACTTTCAAACGACAATGTTTAACATGTCAAACAGGTAGACTAACTGAATATGTTCATGTACTTATCAAAGTGTGTGATATCCATACCAATAAAAATGATATTTTTAAATGAAGAAATTAATATCACGTTTACCAAAACATATGTTCCTAACCTACATATAGTTACACTTTAGCAGAAACATAGGTCTCAACTCAACAAGTAGTCCTAGATCAGCAGATGTTATTGCGAAACAAGCTGTCAAATCTAACCTCGGGTGTGTCCCCATAGGCAAGTTCGGTGTTCTTTAGCAAAAACCACTGTTTCTTCCATTTCTTCGACATCTTCGATCTTTTCATCAGCCATCCCTTCATTTCTATGTGCGTTACGCTGTCGTCGTTGTGACTACTGGTGGTATTTAGGCTGTTCGTCCGACTATCAGAGGACTCCGAGGAAGCCATTTCTACCGTCGTCAAATTTTGTTGTGCCGTAAACCGATCTAGGTGTTTGTCGCAACAATGCTTGATAAATTACATTTTACTGAAGTTTTACTCTACAACCATAATATTGACAAGACAATTATATATAATATGAATAAGTCATTGTATTTAACAATATGAGATAAAAGAAGAACAATTTGTACGACATCTATTATAGATCATGTCACGTGATTGACTAAGTGAGGCGATTTGGGAAAATAAAGTTGCGTTGACTTGTCAGAGTGACTGTGCGTGATATAGGTAGCACCTGCTGTCCACGTAATCTGTGGGACGGACAGTTACACATATAATCAACCTGCTCACAGACGAAACACGCCTCAGTGATGCTGACAAGTTGAATTCTACCAATATCAACCAAGTTGAATTATATTTCCGAGACAGCAGGTTCGTTTACCCCGGAAGCTAACAGGAGAATATTTTGATGTCATCTAGACGTGGTGACATCGCCTAGTCGGAGGGATCGAACACATGGCAAGATGGAAGACGGGAGGAAAAGTTTGACTTTCCAAATGCAAATAGGTCTTACTCGAGACCAAATAAATGTGGATGGGGAATTGACTTTAGCGAGCTTGAAAGACATCGCTTGTTCGTTTGTGGATAGAAAGGTGAGATGTGTATTGTATATTGTGATCTGTGTTAGTATGTTGGGGACAACGGAAGTGTATCATCTTGGGCTACCAAATCGTGAGACACACCCTCCACCTAAACAATGCCTCACGGTTCAAGTGTTGACTTAATCATTACACCCTTGCTATTTTTGAACTTCATTCAATGAGATCGTGAATTTATACTGTAATGCATCGTTGAATGATGATCCAAGTGAATACATTGTACCAGGTTTACATATTAAACAGAATGGCTTTCCAGTGTTGAGACATGTACCCTTTGAAACGTTAGGTTTACTCTATATATATATGACTGAATAATAAGATTACACACTTTACCTCTTAGTCCAGACTTGATAAACAGTAAACTACAGTTTGTATAGAAGTAGGTAAATTACCTAACCTACCTTTATCCAAACATTACTATTGATGTGTATGATGACCACGTTGAACGGCTATGATGGTATCATGCTTACATTCCTATCTCTTCTTTTCCTAAACGATAGGAAATAGCTAAAATATTTTTTATATAACATTAATTGGTAATATTTATTGTCGCCTTGGAAGAAATACCAAAATATTCACTGAAGGGACAGGATAGAGGTATGTGTTCCGCGCAATTTAAACACTCAGGGAAGTTCAATGAAACTATTGAAAGTCCATTGGAAAGATTTAAGAAAGAAAAGCTTCACCTTTAGAGTTGATGGCTAAATGGAACAGTCTGCCAGAACACGTAGAGGACCTGGTCGTGCAGGCAAAGGCAGCATCTGTAAACAGAAATCAACTTATCATATAATAACACAGAAATCAGTCATGAAATCACACACACATTTTATAAGAATTTCTTGAAATGGAATCATCACCAGGTACATTTACCTATGTTACAATTACACATAATGAATGAATGTCAATACTCCTATGAGTAAAATGGATGTTCTACTCAAGGCCCTGTGATGAGTTATTTAATCAGTTTTGAATTTCCAAATTTCTGGTATATTCATAATTATTCCAGGGTTTCCTGATATTTGATATCTTCTGATTGAAATTTAAGTACAGTCAAATTTTTATGATTTGGATTTCTTGATGTAGTAAAGTTTTTGTCTGGTCACAAATTTTATTCCTGTATATTAACAAAGTCTCACTTTTTAGTTTTAAGCATATAAGCATGAGAAACACAGTGATTTATCTGTCAGTCATACATGCTCCGATTGATCCAGAGCATAGGAAAACACTCTTGTAACATCTACGACCAAAGATGTATGATGTTAGTGCTATTGTTTCTGGACAGAATACATTATGATATTAATTTGCTTTCTTTTGAATTCATTAGTGCCTATGCCATTGATGTATCAGTCTTTAACTAATTACTGTAACATGTGAAGACCATGCACTTTCATGCTGCATGTCGTTTCATTTAAAAGCAACATGTACAAAGCATATACTGTGTGAAATGAAAGCTAAATGTCTTGTTGATTTCTATGTAAAGTAATATCTTTTTAAATGAATGAAAATGTTTTGTTTAAAGATATGAAATCATCTTTTCATTCAAACTTGTGTTTTGGTATTTGTCGTGGTTGTTAAGGTAGAAATATTGTGTCATCAACCATTACAGCTATGAATATGAAAATGTCGATTTAACCCACCATGCATGAATGAAAGTCTCCATGTATCAAAAGTTTTTGGTAGTCCCTTGAACTTTGAAACAGTGATATAAACCAAGAAAATCAAGAATATGGGCCTGAAAACTTAAACTTATCAGTGAAAGAAGATCAGGAGATTTCAAACTGTTAACCGAACAAGTGAAATTGTTTTTATATTTCTGATGGTAAGTTACTTCAGTAGAACCTTATCAACCAAGTTTTGTAGGCATACTGTTGTGCTATATGTTAATAATACGTGCATGTCTGTGTTAGACTATTTATATGCAGGTAAATGTCTGTGCATTTCCTACAAAGTATTTCAAAATAGGAATATATTTAAATCTGATTTATTTTACACATTGCTCTACTCATTAATTTTACATATAAATGCAGATGTATAGAGATGCACTTATTATCACCATTTAACATATATCTATTCATTCTTAAAGCACTAGAGGCAATTCTGGAATTTTTATTGAACAAAATTGATTGCTTATTCCATACAAAAACATACAGAAACAGGTGTAAGCTTTCTGTAATGACGTGGCAATAAATAAAAAGCTCGAAATAAACTACTTACAAATTACAAGATTAACATTTGCTTCTGAGACTTGTTAGTTACTTTCAGATTCAGAAGGTGTGTTTTCCCTGTTCCAACCCTTAAATTCCTTAAAATCTAATATGTTGGGACCTCCAGATATCAGGCCAAGTGGTTTGGGGTACTTTTCCATAAAAATCAACTGAGGTTCTTGGAGGCATTCTGTTTTTCTCCAAGGATTATTTTTTTCTGCACAATGCCATATAATTGTTTATTCTAATATTCTAAATCTGCATATTTCGTCACATTGATTGAAAATGTAGGGTTACAGAAAAGGTTACAGAAATGAGTAAAATCACAGTTTTACTATAGCACAAGAAAGTCGAATCAAAAACCAAAAAAACTACGTTAGTACCATCACTTGTTTTACAATAGCTCGACATATGCAAAAAAAATACAAAACAAAATGAAAACAAATCTGCTTTAATGTATAACGTCAGTATTAAGTTTTATAAAAGTGAACATAGCAGTATAAGGATTGAAGAGATAATCATTAGATTGATTTATTATCACCATTGCTTAAAAAGTTCTTTTCTGGTTCAAATTAAATTGGTATTGTTTGAATGCCATTATTGTAATCTGTTTATTTAGTCATGTTAATATCTAGATCATCACATAGCACTTTACTTTGTTGAGTTTTTAAGAAGCATTTATCTGAGTGACCTTATCTGCAGTAATTACATACAGCATACTGAAAGTTTACAATCATGATGTCCAGCTCGATATGATTATTGATGTATTAATCAGTTTATACAGAAAGTAAATGGCAATCCACTGACAAAAGTAGAGCTGTTCTCATATACTGACATCATGATATATTGTGATCGCAGAAGCAAAAGATATATATCATGAAAAGTTATTAAGATTGGCAATATTGCCACCAGCAAAAAATAAAACAATAATATATCTTGGTAAAAAAAATATTAAAGAAAAATTAAGCCACAGGGGCTGTATCAAAATACCATTAAATCAATTTATCACTAAAAACTGTCCTTTCATTTTATTAGATACTTAAATGTCTAAACACTAAGGCATAGTACAGTATTTCTAAAAATGGATTGAGAAATACTCTCAGCAACATGGTCATTAAAATGCTTGTTTAATGTTCAATAGCTGCAAAGCATCTTTATAGCCACACTTTAAAAATGAGGTTATGCTTCCACCAGTAAGATAAAAAGTTTTTGGTTACAGGAACATGTCTTCTAATATTATGTTTGACATTGTAATAGCCAGGGGGACAATTTATTTTATCACAAAATATATATTGCATATATTCTGGTAAAGAAATAACATTGTGATAACTTTTAGGTCATGTTGTGTGTCAGATTTTTTCATTGATAACGAAAAACAAATGGAACAAAGTTTTGTGTTCAGATTTTATTGGCAAAAATTAGGTTATTATTGCAACAATATCTGTACGTTTTGATGATATCCCGGTGGAGATTTTTATCACGATAACAGCTCTAGAAAAAAATCACGTTAATTTTAATCTCGTGTATAGAAATCATAGCACAACACTTTCTCATAAAAATCTCAATACCACTGCCAAGAGTGATCCAAGGGTTTCTTCAATTTATTCATATAACAAATTGACACACAAATCCGCAGATGTTCTGTATATGCATCTTTTGCTGAAACCCATGAGAGTACAATAGATACTCATTATCACTTTTCCTGATTTCGCGGTATTCCCAGACATATATATATAAAATCCAGATTATAAGAATTATCTCCCTTTAACACATCAATGTTCCTGAGGAGACAACCTTTGTTCTAATTAACTGGCTTTCAGCTAGAAAGAGAGAACAATAATTGATAACCCTTTGGTCCGGAAGTTTCCAATGAGCTGAAAATCTTGGAGAATTCAAAATTCCTTAATATCATTTTGAGATGGCAGTCTTGAAATCTTTTTCCGATTTCAGTTAACATTAGAAGTAGAAATTAGGTAGAAAGTGCAATTCATTCATGACGTGTGAATGTATTACATTTTGCAATTTTTCCAGACATTTTTAAAACGTCTTTCTTGTACTCTGGTCCTGAATTTGAAAACACTGATACTTTCTTTGATCTAATTACTGGGAAAACAAATTAATTATTTGCCTATGAACTTCACCAAAAGATATTTGAAAGTAACAATTGGGGAAAAGTTGATAAAAGAGCTTATTGTTATTGGAATTATTGGTGTATACTCAGAAAGATGATTACTATTCCTCCATTGTAACACAATATATCATACTTCATTTATCTTATTTGTGTAGTGTAGTTTTCGTTAACAAGGTCATTTATCCCTGGCCACAATCCCATAAGTAAAAATTACATGTAGCTCTCTGGGCAAATCTGACATAATAAGATATCCATGGAGGACAGTACTGGTATACCATCCCTGCTGATATCATCATATTTTCTTAGTATAGGGGACCAACATGTACATGTAGCTTGCTACAGGACCACATGTAATGGCCAAAATAAATACAGGAAAATGCACTATGTGTGTCAAAACTGTGAATATTTGGTTATAATTATACTGTGTCCTATATTAACCTCAGAATCTATATGTACATAATTATATGTGTCTATATAGTAATGTGGAGCTAGATGTTACCGTGTGCATGATGACAATTCCAACAGTGAGGTTGTATTGTTGTGGTATGGAATGTACAGTGAATGATCTTCATGTATTGTCCATTTTTTTTTTATATAAATATGAAATATGAGTCTGTCTGGCCACTGGTGTTGGGATTAGAATTTCCCAAACATTGTAA